GACCTTGCGCTTGCCAGGCAGGCGCTTTGCCGCTGAGCTAAATCCCCAGCCCCAATAGCTGCAATTTGGAGTTATTTCCAATGTGACACTGTCCCATGGATTTCCTCTTGTGATTTTAACTGTAGGCCATTTTACAAGGGATGATCATAAAATGTAGTATATATTTAAATTAAAAATCATTACAGTAAAAGATATACTGCATTAATCCCTCTCAAAGTATTCTTCCTCACCTCAGACACACTTATCCCATCGTTCTTGCCACTTTCTGAAGCAGATCTGGAAGTTCTTCGTGATTGTCTCTACACAGTGTGATCCAAAACCGCAGCGAATACTGCTGCCAAGTTGCCCCCAGGGGAAAGGCAGGGTCATAAAAACATCCAGTGAGTTCTTGTCCACTTCATTCTCCAGATCTGGCACCCTGTGATTTCTGCCTCTTCCCCAATAGCCATGAAATGTGAACATTTTGAATTGACTCAGAACATCAAGGCAAGGACAACAGTGCCCCGGATGCCACAATAAAGGACTCCCAGGACTGCTTCAAAAAGTGGCAAAAACTATGGGATAAATGTGTCTGAAGTGAGGGGTTAATGGCAAAATGTCTTTTACTATAAAAAAAAAAAAGTTAAGATTTAAGCATTCACCATTTTCAGTTGTATCCCGTCGTCTTATATCCTCCCTTTAAAATCTTACCATCCTACAAGAGATTACTCCCCAGTGCTTCCTGGATTGCGTCTATAATTTTAGATTTTTTTCAGATTGCAAATATACCATAGTACATCCAGGACCCAGAAAGACCCCCTGTCAGCATGACTGTAGGCTTGTTTTTGAGATACTCATATAAAAGTAATATTTATGGGAGCAGCTTGATTCTCTGAGCCACAGAATGAGGATGGACATACAGTATTCATGATTATTCCAGATTTTTAAGAAAAGATGAAACAGTTCTCTGCTCAAGTTCCTTTTGGTGAGAGCTTGGAGCCAGCCAGTGCTTATGCATCCATTCACAGAATGCTCACACTGTTGGCCCAGGAGAACTGGGTGGGTATGGTCCCATTGCTTGCCTAGTGGATAGCGTTACTAATGTGCAATTTTTGTGTATCTTTGTAAGCTCCAAGCTCTAAGAAATGCAGTTCGCACTGGCCTTCACCCAGAAAAACCTCATCAGTCTCTTGATGCCACCCAAAAGACCATCGATGAATATAAATCTGAAATTCGGTGAGGAAAGTTTGTAATTCTAACTACTGATATTGAGGGAGTGGGGTATGTACTTGTTTACAGTTTATTTTCCAGATAGGTTTTTCTGAATGCTTTGAATACATGTGAAATCCTGGCAAATGAAATGAGAAACATCCCATCCTATTAACACAGAATTTGAAGTCCATTACTGTGGAGGAGAACGTGGGGAAATGCTGTATCCTGTGTTCCTCAGGGCTAGCACCACACTTGAGAGAAGACATTGGAAAGATGCAGGTGTCCCTGTGCCACGTTTCACAAAGCCTAAAGATGCCTGAAATGACACCTGTTTGTTCTGGGTAGCCACGTGTGTGGGACATACAGATGGAGAAAGCCAGTATCTTCCTCCTGGGAGGAGGGATGGGGCCAGCAGGGATGGTCTCAACACTTTATAAGAACAAAAAACTACTGCGCAAGTGAGACAAAACATCAGCAGGTCTTATTTATTATACTGTATTTCCACGAAAATAAGACCTACCTGGAAAATAAGCCCTAGCTGGTCATTCCCGTAGTAATAACCAGTGTCATGCAGAAGATTTCATCTCACTATTTCTCTTGCTTTGGGGCTACTCAGTAGTGGCAGGTCAGACAAGGTGATCGGGCTGGCATTTTTAATCTCCAGTTTTCAAGACTGATTATTTTCTGGTCAGGTATTTAAAACCCAAAAAATTATTTTTTCAAAAGTTAAAACCATGATTATTTCCCAAAAATAAGGAAATGTAGAATGTAAAATGTGAATATCATCTAAAAATCCCATACCTCGGAGAAGATGCTTGTTAAGTTTTTTGCTAGTTCTTTTATATACACTGTGGGTATGTGTGAATGCACGTGTACGCACACAGAAAGAATATGAACACTTTTAAAATGAAAATTGGTTGTTTTTTGATGTGCCAGGGATCAAATCCAAGGCTTTGTACATGCTAGGCAAGCTGTATACCACTGAGCAACATTTCAGCGCCCAAAATGAATCCTTTTCCTATGGTCCTGGGAATTGAACCCAAGATCTTCCCACTGAGGTCCATCACCACCCTTTTTTGATTCTTGATTTTTGTGTTTTGAGACAGGATCTAGCAGGTCTGTAAGGCGGGGTTCAAACTTGTGATCCTCCTGCCTGAGTCTCCCTGAGTGCTGAGATTATAGATGTACTTACTCTGCCACGCTCAGCTTTTAAAAATTATCTTTTATGTCGAAAGGAAAAACATATTGCAGCCCTTGTGGGAGAACAGCTTTTGGTGTAGCCCAAACGGGGCCAGAAAACAGTGACATCAAGCTATTCTGACAAGAATCATTGTTTCCTATGGAATCATATCACTAGTCACTATTTGAAAAACAGCAGACCTGTGCATGAAACCCACAGAATATGCCCAGTGGGCTCATCGCAGTCCCACAGCAGAAGTTCTGCTGTGCCTGGAGATGAAAACCTCTGAGATTTAGCACTCCATGCTAGCCCAGGAGAAGAAGGGATTTCAGCCTTTCACTGATGTATCTCTGGGCAGGAAAACAGGTACTAAGCAGGTGGTTTCTTCCTCGATGTTCTTGAGTGGACCCATTTCCTCCAGTGCCCTACCATCTGCTGATCAGCCACCTCCTGTTAAGGAGGTTCTGTAAACACTTCAGAGAATGCTGCGCTGTAAGCCCCCAGCAAGACCCTCTTTCTGTGCTAACACAGATCACAAGCTCCACTCTCAGGAGATGAAGTAATCTTATTGCAGAAGAAGAAGCACATCTGCTGAGCCCTCCATTGTGTGGCTTCCTGCCAGATGTGCTCACTCAAACAAATGACAATTCTGTGGCCTCATCCAGCTTGCATAGTGTTTCCCCGCATGGCCAAATTTCCCAAAACGTGCACTGTGCACAAGGTCTGCTCCCTGCCCCTCCCCCACCCCCAGCTTGCTCCTGCGCTCCCCTGGCCTCTGGAGCACACCCTGCTGCATCCCTCTCAGCTTAGGATATTGACGTTGCCACAGGTTCCCTGATGAGACAAACATTCTCCTTCTTGCAGTGTCTCTGTGCCTCTGCAACTGCCCGTCCTTCTCAAGGTTCTTCTCCTAATCTCCCTCCTCGGCCCCGTTCATAAATCTTCAGAGTTCCCCTGGTTTTGTTTTCCTTATTTTTACCCCCGGTACTGGGGTAGAACCCAGGGCACTCTCTCACTGAGTTACATCCCCAGACCTTTTCATTTTGAGTCAAGATCTGACTAAACTGCCCAGGCTGGTTCAAATGTAATTCTCCTGCCTCAGCCTCCCAAGTATTGAGATTATGGGCATACACCTGTTGTTTTCTTTTTAACCCTTTTTATCTGTATTTTTACTTAAGATAAATCCATTCCTCAATTGTGTAGTCCAGGCTGGCCTCCAACTCCCAGCAATCCCCTGCCTCAGCCTCTTGAGTGCTGGGGTTACAGCTGTGTGCCACCATGCCTGGCTCTAGTCACAATTCTTAATTAGATATTTTTTGGGATTCTTGACTCCTTTAGCTCAAAGGTCAATATTTTCTTGCTAAGAGTTCTTTTGAGTATTTCTGGAAATTTATTCTGTTAGGGACTGAAAGGAAGTGAGAAAACAGAAAGCCTAGAGGTGTCATGTAACTCAAGAAAATATTTCTATATTGCAGTTTTTAAAAATAAGGCACAGCAGCTAAGGTATAGGGGCCACCTGATCATGACAGATAATATTTGCAGTCTGCTGTCTGCAGGTCCCAGGCCAGGTTCTGAGCAGACTGTATTAACTCCTTTGCTCCTCCCCATGGCCCTTTGAGGTTTGCTCTGGGGAAGTAGCCCATCGAAGGCCACCCAGAAAATGACAGAGCCACAATTTAAACCTAGTGTGATCTACCAACTCACGCCTACCCACAAGGCTTGACGGTGCCCCTCACTAGAGTGCTGTTATTCTAGTTCACTGTTGCTTTTTCTAAGGGCTTCAGAGAGTCCCAGATCTTGGCTACTAGCTATCATCTTTAGCCATCTTCTTTTGCCACTGCCGCCAGTTGAGCAATTAGAAACCAGCTGCTTGCTTCTCTGCAGACTGAGCCAACTCCAGACTAGGGTCCTCCTGTGGTCAGCAGGGCTCATCTCTGCCATGGGTCCTCCTTGGGTCCTGTGGCATCTCTTAGACAACCTCTACACCGCGTGTCACCATCATTTATGTGTGTGTCTGCCTCTGAAGTGGCATTACCCACTCCCTGGGGATGTAGACCCCTCTTCTCTCCAAGATACTTCTGAATTGCCTTGAATGACACATGGTACTTATTCAAAAAGTAAATAATCATCTCGCTTATTCATTCATGGCACAGTGGAGTATATTTGGTGTCTCAATGTGGCTTTCATTCATAAAGAGGGCTTAAAGTAAGGTATTAAACAATTTCTAGATATTTATCATATTGGAAATAAATATGAAGCACTTTCAATGGTGCTTCAGGTCAAGCCAAAAATATTGATCATTTCATTAGCACTGGAAATTCTCCAAGGCTGCAATAAGATTACTTCATCTCCTGAGAGTGGAACTTGCAATCTGTGTTAGCACAGAAAGACGTGAGGGTTTTGCTGCGGACTTAGAGGGCAGCATTCTCTGAAGTGTTTACAAAAACTTCGCCCATAAGAACTGCCTTCCTGCTTGGTCCTTTCTTTTCCTAACTGCGGAGGAGCTTGTTAGTTTAAGGGTACGTCATCATAGTAAGAATTTTAAAAAATAATTTAGTTTTACTCAAGTCAGATTCACCTAAAGAGAATAAAATCAAATAAAATCTTTCAAAAGCCATATTGTCTTTAAATTTGCATTTGGTATTTGGTTTTCTTCTAGTAATTATTTAGAAATGTGTATGGCTATCCCGTTGAATACACAATCACGTAGCATTATTGATTCCATTTTTACTTGCAAATAAACACACCTAAACCACTTCTTAATATACATTCGTATATTTTTGTATCTTGTAGGGAAACAAGAAAACTGCGTGATGCTGAACAAGAAAAAGACCGAACACTGCTCAAGACCATCATAAAAGTGTGGAAAGAGATGAAATCCCTTCGAGAGTTCCAGAGGTTTACGAATACGCCCTTGAAACTTGTTCTGAGAAAGTAGGCTTTTTAAAAATCATTTTATTGGGCTATTTCATCTATCAAGAAAATGTTTAAGACATAGATGCAGTTTAAACAGTAATAACAAATGAGCTAAGCAATAGAACTTCGTAGGTACCTGGGTAGCCCCCAAATCTCTCTCCAACAACAATCTTTTCTAAAAGTAACAACTATCAGCATAGTTTATCCATGCTTCAGGATAAGAATGACAAAAGTAAACAGTTCTGTATATATGTGAGACAGAACATAACTTGGGGGGCAAATTTTCCAATGTATGTAAATTTCAGGTATATCATCTAACATGGTATGGTGTCTTTGGTGATAGCCTAGGGTCTATCAGGATATCCAAGAATCCTATCAGAGCTTATGCCTTGGAGAACTGATCACTGCTAAACCACTAGGCCACACATGGTCTTAAGCAAGTATCTATCAGCTCTAGGCATTTGACTAAGTTTACCTAAAAAGCATAGAGGAGATTTAGGAGTGTGGAACTTGGAAACCAGACCACATCAGGAAAAACAGCACAGTTAATAAGTGACACCAACTCCCATGTGCGGGGCGGGATATGGGCATCACATGCTTGCCACTCCCTAACCGGAAGTGCTACCACTCATTAACATGGAAAGGGCTCCAAAAGGGGAACAACAACAAGAGTCTCGTGTTTCTTTAATCTGGAGTTGATATGGCCACAGAGCCTCGGTTGGTAGGACATCTCACAGAACTACACACTGTGGGAAATACTGGTCTGGCTGGACTGATGTCCTGGGGAAGAAACCTCAGCAGAATCATCAGCAATGATCTCCTATCATCCGTCTGATGTCCAGGAATGTCCCTGGTAGCAACCAAATGGAGTGGTTCCTTGGGGAGTTGGAAAAATAGTGAAACAACTATAGTGATATTTCTGCCCGGATAGACTTACAGGCACTGCCAGCACCCAGCATGGCTTATTTAACCCCAAGCAGCACTGTCATCCCCAGCACTTGGTACATTTTTAAATTTAGAGACAGTGCCTTGCTAAGTCACCCAGTTGCCTCAGCCTCCCAGAGCGGTAGGCTGACAAGCCTGCACCAGCACACCCTGCTATACAACACATTTAGAAGAGGAACTAGAAGACACAAGCCCATCTATGTATTTGTTATCATTAACGCTCTCTGGAGTTGCTTTTTAGCCCCTTCACCTTGCACCATTAATTCCCAGAAATAACCAAGGATCCTGTGAATTAATTTAAAGGGAAAAAGTTGACCAGAAAGCAGATGAAGAAGCGTATGAAGCGGAGATTCAAGCTGAAATACGTGAGTGGATGGAAGAGCACACGGAGGAGTACGAACAGAAGATGGAAGACTACAGGGCATCATACCAGCAATGGAAAGCTTGGAAAAAAGCCCAGGTTTGTAAACCCTTCCCCAGCCTGCACCAGGGCTAGGCAGGGAGGGTGTGGGACAGCAGGGAGAGACAGGAGGGAAGCTGGACCTGCCTGCTGTGGTCTCCTGCTGGCTCCTCCCGTCTCTCTCTCCACGCTCCTCACTAGGAGACAAAGGCATGGGTGGACTGCTCAAAAAGCCACCCAGTTAGCCATGCCATGCACAGCTCAGCGGTAGCACTCTGTGGGTGTTTGAGTGAACATAGTGATTGCTGATACATGTGTCAAGCACCGTGCTCAGTATTTTGCATGCGGGTATGGTACACATCCCTCTATGTCCCTCAGGCAACTGTACAGCTGCTTACACATGACTGAGTAACAGGTCAGGGTAACCTGCTACACCCGTTGTGATCCCAAGCCTTTCAAACTGTGTCCTTGGCCTTGAGAACCAGTACTGGTGATCCCATGAATAGCAAGTATTTTGAAGGAGCCCCATGGTCTGAGTGGAGGACTAACCCTCTGAACATACTCCATAAGTTGAACCGGAAGAGAAGGCTGATATTTGATGGTTCCAGAGTTGACCCACCTCTCTAGGATAAGTGCTGTGCAGGATTTCATTTCTGCAGCCCCAGGAAGAGTTTCCTATGCTGATTCCCGGTGGAGGTGGGAGACCTGAGACCCAGAGAGGCCCTAGCAAGCTGCTGGTGGTGGGCTGGCTTCCTATCCAGCTCTATCCAGCTCTATCCAGCTCTATCCAGCTCTGAAGACCAGTTTCAGATTAAATTCCCAGACTCCTTCCTATTTGACATCAGGTCGCCTCTTCCTCAACAGAAGGCCAAGAAGAAGAAAAAGAAACAAGCAGAGGAGCATCCCGAGGAAGAGACTGAAGAGGAGCCCTATCCCGGGGAGGAGCCTGTGAAGCCCGTTCCCCCGGGCCCCCCAGACCAGGCAGTCCTAGAACAGCAGGCGAGGGAGCACGCAGCGCACACCAGGAGGCGGCCCGGAGAGCCCATGTTGCTCCCAGAGCTGAGCTTGGCGGGGAGCGTGACACCCAGTGACCAGTGTCCTAGGTGAGCAGATGCTCTGACCGTGCTGAGCTGATGCCTGGCTCGCACTCACCTGCACACCCATGCACACAACATGAAGTGCACATCTCCTGAGCCACGTAGTCAGAGCAAGAGCACCATTAACCGTCTGTGAATGTAGGCTGAACCATAGCAGACGGGGATGTTTGCTCATGTTCGGTGATTTCAAAAGATTCACCCACTAATTCATCCCTACTGGCCACTCAAGAGCCTGCCACATAGAGCTGCCTTTAAGAGAAGCATCTCAGTCACAGACCTCTGCCTGCTCTCCCCAGTGGCTGTCTAGGTGGTCTTGGGTTGGGTCTCTTGTCTGTAACCTCAGTGTGCCTTTTCTGTCCACTGGTGCTATGTCTTTTCTCCCTGGCATGGACACAGAGACCTCCCCCATACACATATAGTAAATCCAAAAATGTACATTGTATGCTCATATTCTTTAAAAAATTATAATATGCTAAAAGTATTTTTTAAATTCCCTGTACTTATATATTAGCTTTTCCCTTGCTGGATACAGTACCTGACACCCACAATTTAGATGAGGAGAGGTTTAATTAGGCTCATGGTTTCAGGAGAGTTAGTCCATGGTTAGCAAACTATAAGGCAAAGACAACATGGAGGAAAGTCATGGTAAAGGAAAAAGAGCAAAAAAAACAGACATGACCCTGACACCATGACTCTATGACCCACCCAGACATACCCAGAAATGTGCTCCACCAATCCCCTAATTGGATCCCAAAGCCCAATCAAGTTTGTCACTCCACCGTACACAGTTCTCAAAATGTAGCCCTACAATGGATGGGCGACATTAACTTCACATGAGAACTTGTTAGATCAAAATACCCAGGTTTTATTTGAGGCCAATTGAACCTTAAACTCTGGGTAATACATACAAAACCGTGGCCTTACAAGGTCAGTTTATAGATGATTCTGATACCTGTTATAGCATGTTATAATCTATTAAAAGGAATCTATTAAATCTATTGAAATCACCAATACCAATGACATGAATGGGGCTTAATTCTTCAGTAAATGTAAGTTCTATCACAGACACAGAGAATATGTTAGACTGGGGTGTTTAACATTCCAACTAAAAAAGTGAGCACTCAAGTGAGTCATCTTCCTGTCCATTTTGATGCCAGGGTTAATTAGCATATCATCATAAGGCTGCCTACACCCTTCCTAGTTTCACACTTCTCTAAATGCTGTAATGATTTCTTTTTAATTGTAACTTCTTGTGCATTTGTATGTGTTTTCACGACTTCACAGATGCTATACATAAACTATTTTCTGACCCCCCCAAAAATATATATAGCTATTTTCAAGACACAAATACCATAGCATATACTTTGGTCATGAATATTCAAAACATATGATAACAGAGCATAGTTTCAAAGGGAAAACTTGGGCTCGATTTAGTAATCTTTTATGTGAGTTCCATTTTGACTGAACATGTACACCTCTGTCTTAATCCATTGTCGAGTTTTCATTGGGATTTGGGAGTGCCAGCCAGGTTGCCCCCAAACTAAGGGGAGATTATTCTCCCCTCTTCAGGCCATCAGATAAGGGGGTGGCGATTGAAGAAAAGTAGGAGAGGGGAGAAGGTCTATTTCTTGCATGAGATTATTGCGAACAGTAGTTTTAGAGGAAAGATGCTTCGTTCTTAGTGACAAGGGGACAGAACTAAAGAAGAAGGGGCAAAGGACCAGACAGACTCCAAGGCCATGCCTCTGGTTGGAGACCAAGTTGTGTCATGACACTTCTTCCAATTGGGTGTTAAATGTCCTTTATAGGGGAAAAATGCTGTTGTTTGAGCAATTTTGTATCTGGATATCTCTAAATTATAGAGAGGTAAAAGTTAAAGCTACCACCTAATTTAGTGAATAGAAAATTTCTGTTTGGGGTGATGAAAATAAAAATAGACTGTAGTGGTGTTTGTACAACATTGTGAATGTACTTAATACCACTGATATGCACACGGAAAATGATTGAAATGATAGCAGTTAGATTGTGTATGTTTTACCACAATGAAGACTTAATTCATCAGCCATCACCCGGAAAACTTGAGCTAGTTTTAGATTTTAATGCATTTCAAGCTTGAACTGCTCTTGATGTAACCAAGCAGCTCTTTGGTGGATGTCTCTGCAAATATAGACAACAAAATTAAAGAGGGTTCTTTGAGATACTGAATTCTTTATAAAGTTTCAGGCTCTTAGACTACTACGCTTCAACTCTTTCAAGGCACCAGGATACATCTTATTGTAATTAGAGTGGTCTTTACAAAGAAGAAGCATTTCTTAATGCTTTACATCCATTGAGAAGTCACCTACCCTCTGAAAATGCTGAGAAAATTTTGAGTACTAGAGAAATAGACCTGATCTAACTGTTGCAATATGCTCCTGTCTGTTTAGAATAAAATATATTACCCAAATACTAACCATTACTGTCCCTTTTGCTCTGAATTCAATTCTACTTAACAAGGAATGTATTTATTTAAAATTTTGTTTTGGATGCAAATGTGAGACTTGCTGGAACAGTTTAAGAAGGTTGTACAATGAGCATGAACCCTGGGTCACAGTTCTTAAGTCCCCTCTTCCTGTTACAGTGGTTGCTGATGGCTTGTCCGTGAATTGCACACCACAGTATTTTATTGTAGTAAACTCTTCAAGTGGCTGTTTTGTGGCTGTTTTGGTTAAATGGGAGCTAACATGACCAAAGGAGATGGCTCCAAGGTCTCTTGTTCTGTTCAGTGTCCCTCTGTCAAATACCCCAGGGATCCTTACTAAATTAATACTGACCCCAGCTGCAAATGGTCTCACTTTCAGGGCGGAGGTCTTGCGGAGGGAAGATGTGAAGCGACGCTTGGTGTATTTAAAGGTCCTCTTCAACAGCAAGGAGGTGTCCAGGACAGTGAGTCGGCAACTAGGGGCAGACTTCCGTGTTCACTTTGGACAGATTTTCAATTTGCAAATATTCAACTGGCCGGAGAGTTTAACGCTTCAGGTACACATTTTAATCATAATCCCCGTCCCAAGAACTTTGTGGTCCTTGAAGTATGAGACGGCTGGCAGAGTACCTGGCCACGGTGCTCAAGTGTGTGCTTTGAGACAGCAGTGTGTGGCTGAAAGAACATGGGGCTCCCTAGTACATTCCCTGAAGAAATGCTTCAATACCACCATGTACAGGGCTTTAACATCGCAAAGAAACCAATGACACCACCATCACAACCATCACAAGCACTTATACCGCGGTGGAGGACAGGTGCTAGAATCTCCCAGATTAATAAATCTCACCCTCAGCCTCAGTCCCCCATTAGCAATGTATTTTTATCTCTTTTAGCTTCCTTGGGCTGATATAACTAAACTCCACAACTTGATGGCCTAATAACAGAAACGTGTTTGCTCACAGTTCTAAAGGCCCTGAGTCTGAAATCGAGGTGTCAGGAGTGCTGTGTTCCCTCTAGAAGCTCTAGCAGAGAGCCCTTCCTTTCCTCTTCGGTTTCCAGCAGCCACTGGAGCTCTGTGCTGTGCGGCTGTGTTGCTCCAATCTGTCTCTGTCTTCGTAGGGTCTGCTCTGTGTCCTTCTAATCCACGAACATTCTTGTTGAATTTAGGAGCCAACCTTATCTCATCGGGATCCTAAATGAATTACACTTAAGGAGAAGAACCCCATTTCTAAATCAGATCTCATTCTGAGGATTTGCACGGACATCAATTTTTAGGGCTGCTACTCAAGTCACCGCAGGACTTAAGGCTTCCCTGCTCCTTTTGTGAATCCTCTCCTATGACACTAGCGGATTTCTCTCTTGGGATTCTAATAGGCTTGTTGACTAAGGCCACAAATCAGAGGCACACGTGCCCTTGTTTCCTACCCACCACCAGGCAGAATCACCCATCTTCTTCATCACATGTACAGAAATCCCTCATTTCCAGCCACCGACCCCTGACAGTTCGCTGCCAGAAATGATTGATTGGCCATGCCCCTTACTCCTCTGCACTGTGCCTTGCTATAACTTTAGAAGAATCCAACACAGTTCTCCAGGTAGCCACTCTGTATTGGTTATGACCGGCCTTAAATGGATAGATTCTAACTGACCTTACAGTGTTTTAACATTAGACTTAAGTACTGAGTGGTAACTAGCTGCTGCCCTTAGAATACCACCTTGGCCACGTAGCCCCACCTCCAAGACCGTATTCACAAGCTGTGTGACAGATTTTCCAACTGGGTAGGGCCACACTTGTGAGTTGAATGTCAACTGAAATGCAAAGTCTCCTACTCCTAAAACAAGTAGGAGACACTGAGATGAAGATTCTTTTGGCAGTAGGAAAGACTTAGAATCCAGGGTGGGGGCAGGAAGCAGGAGGACCTTATAGGGTGGCACTGGACACCCATGGTCAACACCGCGGTTACGGGTTTCCCAGAGCCCAGACAATTTGCTTCCACACTTCTGCACCTGTGATTTGGGGGTGAGTGCGACAGGTGATGTCCCTTGTTTATGAAGCACAGAGCACTGGGACTCGGCCGGATCCCTTGAAGCCAGTGCCTTGAAGACAGCATTGATATCTGCCCCTGTCCTGGGGCCTCAGCACCGAGAGACCCTGTGCAGTTCCTCTCTGGCACGAAATGGGAAGGTGGTCCCAGAGACCAGGAACAAGGACTTTCACTCCAGTGCCAAGCAATGCCCTTGACATGGTGGGTGTCAGTGTGTGTTTTATTGGTCACCATGAAGTGTGGTGACCAGCACAGGCCACACCAGGGGCAATAAACACAAAACTGAAGTTCAGAAGCAACTCTTGAGTCCTTGGGCAATAAAGTATTTGAACTCTTCCAGTCTAATAGAGGTACATGTGCAAAGCCACTGGGGTCACATAATATAGAAACTTTGTCCTGCACAGCTGAGTAAACTAACTCTCAATTATCTTATCACAAGAGATATAAGGTCTTTCAAAAACAGATGTGTTCTTATTTTTAAATAAGCTTCACTCCCTGATTTAGCTACGTCTGAACAACTAATCTGAAGACAACAATATGCAATATAACAATCAGTGTTGAATTCCTATCATCTTGTTTTGTGAAACTCTGTATCACATCTAATTTTTTTTATTATTTTTTATTCTCTTTAAAATAAAAAAATTTAAACATTGATTAGAAATTCTATGACCCAAGAGTAATGAATGCAGGAAAGTAATAATAATTCCATAGTTTAATTTCTGCTTTCACCAAAAGAGAGTATCTTGAACAGTTAACTGCAAATCAGATTATACTTCCTGTCTTGTTACTTCATTAGTAGCTCATCATCATGGCATCATCTTGGGAGAAGGACTGAGAAGCAACCAGATGGAGCTTCTGTACTTAAACAAAATGAGGAGTGGATGTGAAGAATTTGGGAAACATAAAATAGATTTAAGTATGACATGGAGCTCATCTGGGTGTGAGATGTCTCTGACAGAGCTCAGTGTTGGAGCACATGATAAACCATCTAGTGGCATGTCCTGATTGGCTCGCCCATCTCACCTGGTAGCCTTGTTCTGCGAAAGCAACCAGGAAAAAGAGGAAACTCATTCCCCAAGTAATCTGTGTGTTGGTTTGGAATAGAAACATCTGTAGTGGCCTGCATCTCTGATTAACCTCTCTGGCATGGAGATTAGGGCGGGCATGAAAACAGGAGATCAACAACTTGGCCACTTAGTGTCATATAAACTGGTCTCTATGGGACCACAGTCACACAACTCAACTTTCCATGACCCTAGGGGCCAGGAGAAACACTAACAGTGTGGACTGATGCCCTAAGAATGAGTGCCTTCCACTGCTCTTACTATTGGCTGTCTCTCTTCTCCGGGTTTCAGGTCTATGAAACAGTTGGACACACCAGTACTGCCTTGCTAGCAGAAGTGTTCCTGCCTATCCCTGAGACTACCATTGTCACCGGAAGGGCTCCCTTGGAGGAAGTGGAGTTTAGCAGTAATCAGCACGTGACCCTGGACCATGAGGGCGTTGGAAGTGGTAAGAAAACTAATTATCCTCAGTGGCTCATGGTTTCACTGAATATAGTTGCTTCACTTCTCAAATAGCTAGACAATTATAAACATTCTATCAAAAATTCAAATGATGATATGATTATTTTGCCAAGCCATAACTGTTATTGGCCATGTAAATGCATGTAACTATGTAACTATTCAGCAGTTTGATAGAATGAATTAAGGACCTTTGAAATGCCCTTTGGTCCCTTATTCTACTTTTTGACCTTTTATGTAAGGGAATACTATGAAATGAAGATAAGGCCTTGGGCATAAAAGTATATATATCATAGTGATACTTACAAGGTTGAAATATTACAATAACTTTAATTATTATGGCTTATTCATTAATATTCTCTGTTGTTCCCTTCTACAATTCTAGTAAGATATATGATGGACCCTCTCACTATATCTTCCATGTTTCTACTCCTCCTCCTCTTCCTCCTCCTCCTCCTCCTCCTCTTCTTCCTTCTTCTTCTTCTTCTTCTTCTTCTTCTTCTTCTTCTTCTTCTTCTTCTTCTTCTTCTTCTTCTTTTTCTTCTTCTTCTTCTTCTTCTTCTTCTTC